CACGTTTTCATGCTCCAGTGAACAAAACGCCTTTTCAGTTTTTTTGCGATTTCTCAAAATTGATACATGCTATTGGGTTGGAATTCATAACAATGATTAATGGACATGTTCCGGATACGACATATCAACGATACGCATGAGTGACCTCGGCGATACGCTCCAGTGAGCAATATAGGATTTTACATTTTCATCTTCTTCTCGAGAACGACACTACTTCGAGACATGAAATTGACATCACATGCAGATAATGAATCCCCCATCATAAACTGCAAATTTTATGCATGACTGACCACGCTTTCACGCTCCAGTGAGCAAAACGCGTCTTCAGTTTTTTTTACGCGGGAAGCCTGTTAAAGCTGCACGCAGCTCTAGTTATTATTATTAGGCTTCCCGCTGCTTGTCAGCAGGGAACCTATTGTATTCCTGTGTTTTATTATTATTATTATTATTATTTATTTATTATTATTTATTTATTATTATTTATTTATTATTATTATTATTTATTTTTATTATTTTTTTTTCAAATTGGCCCTACAGACTTGAAATTCACCTCAAATGTGCAGAAGTTCTCAGCTAGCAATAAAATGCAAATTTTATGCATGACTGACCACGCTTTCACGCTCCAGTGAGCAAAACGCGTCTTAGGTTTTTTTGCGATTTCTCAAAATTGATACATGCTATTGGGTTGCAATTCATAACAATGATTAATGGACATGTTCCGGATACGATATGTCAAGGATACGCATGAGTGACCTCGGCGATACGCTCCAGTGAGCAATATAGGATTTTACATTTTCATCTTCTTCTCCAGAACGAAACTACTTAGAGACTTGAAATTTACATCACACGCAGATAATAAGTCCCCCATCATAAATTGCAAATTTTATGCATGACTGACCACGTTTTCACGCTCCAGTGAACAAAACGCGTTTTCAGTTTTTTTGCGATTTCTCAAAATTGATACATGCTATTGGGTTGAAATTCATAACAAATGATTAATGGACATGTTCCGGATACGAACATAATCAACGATACGCATGAGTGACCTCGGCGATACGCTCCAGTGAGGCAATATAGGATTTTACATTTCCATCTTCTTCTCGAGAACGACACTACTTCGAGACATGAAATTGACATCACATGCAGATAATGAATCCCCCATCATAAACTGCAAATTTTATGCATGACTGACCACGCTTTCACGCTCCAGTGAGCAAAACGCGTCTTCAGTTTTTTTTAGCGGGAAGCCTGTTAAAGCTGCACGCAGCTCTAGTTATTATTATTTTTTTTTCAAATTGGTCCTACAAACTTGAAATTCACCACAAATGTGCAGAAGTTCTCAGCTAGCAATAAAATGCAAATTTTATGCATGACTGACCACGCTTTCACGCTCCAGTGAGCAAAACGCGTATTCAGTTTTTTTGCGATTTCTAAAAATTGATACATGGTATTGGGTTGAAATTCATAACAATGATTAATGGACATGTTCCGGATACAATATGTCAAGGATACGCATGAGTGACCTCGGCGATACGCTCCAGTGAGCAATATAGGATTTTACATTTTCATCTTCTTCTCGAGAACGACACTACTTAGAGACTTGAAATTTACATCACATGCAGATAATAAGTTCCCCATCATAAATTGCAAATTTTATGCATGACTGACCACGCTTTCACGCTCCAGTGAACAAAACGCGTTTTCAGTTTTTTTGCGATTTCTCAAAATTGATACATGCTATTGGGTTGAAATTCATACAAATAATTAATGGACATGTTCCGGATACGACATATGAAGGATACGCATGAGTGACCTCGGCGATACGCTCCAGTGAGCAATATAGGATTTTACATTTTCATCTTCTTCTCGAGAACGACACTACTTCGAGACTTGAAATTTACATCACATGCAGATAATGAATCCCCCATCATAAACTGCAAATTTTATGCATGACTGACCACGCTTTCACGCTCCAGTGAGCAAAACGCCTCTTCAGCTTTTTTTACGCGGGAAGCCTGTTAAAGCTGCACGCAGCTCTAGTTTTAATGTGAAATGGGGTGAATTTAGGAAGTGAAATGCCATTAGGCAAGAGTACACGGCAGTTTTTGAGGAGATAGAACCCTGGATTCTTTCATTTACGACCTATTATATGGTGAAAAAGGGGTTTTCAGTCGTGTTACTATTGCTATCAAAACAACGAAATCGCCTTTCCACCAGTAAACGGGGTAATTTTGGATATAATAAAAAAAACTCGCTGAAGAACACCAAGCTCATCTATCTCATAAAACACTATAAACTATGATTTGTCTTTTTATTTGGTCTGTAATATATTCGTTTCTGACTTTACATTTTTTTGTATTGCCGGGGGGCGATGAAGTTGTATAAACTACTTTAGGGGGGCGATGGTCAAAAAAGTTTGGGAACCACTGGCCTAGATGACGTCCCGTGATCGGTAAAAGGAGAATGGATTGTCTTGTGCAGACACGACCAAGCCGATGAGATGGGTCGCTCGTTTATTTAAACTTCGTACCTTAAGCTCTCGTCAAGTATCTCCTCATTTGGAAAGACTTTTTGTGCCTTTATTTTAGTAAAAACACTCCTTCATTTTCAAGAGGTAATCTGCGAGAAAACGTATTTCCTAACCCGCAACAACAATAAACCACAGTGTCTGATCTATTTTCAAGTAGTATCTGCCACGAAATAATATAATTTGAAGCGACATTACAAAACCAAACACGAGAAAAGATACCAAAATAACACGGTATTTCTCGCAAAGCAATTTTAAAACACCCAAAGGCTTTATATATCTTCCTTAAAAAACTGATTACAACGGTAAACTCTCATTTCTAAATATATGTAAAGTGAGTGAACTCGCGATGTTTTGATCGCTTATGGGTTCTCTCCGACTGCGGCCCGCGAGACTTTCTCAAAAGTTTTTGCGGCCCGCCAACCTCACAACCTTAGACCACCTTGTGCTAGATAATAGGCGGTTTGACGATGAATAAAGGTTAAAAATGTGTTTAAACTCACCGTACATACGCAAATAGGCTAACAGTTCAACTAATTCAAAATTTGCCTATGTATCCAAAGTGTTATATTTGATATACATGCAATTAATTGCACAATGCAGCCTACAAAATAAAATTTTCAACGGTGGTACGACAAATATGAACACAACCTAAATTCTGTATTTTTAGCGATTATATTCAAATGAATGTTATATAGTATTTTCGGTATTTTATAGGAAAACAGTTGATAATATGAGGAAAGAATGCATACGTAACGTTTTTAATATAGAGAAGAGGAAAAGTGAAGATAGTCATATATTATGCATGCTACGGTATATTTCGATTAACACTTCATTAGTGGGCTTTACTTGGTTGAAATATGGAAAAAAATCCTGACAGAAGCCGCTATTATAATATTTCAGTGGGATAAATTGATTGCGTAAACATTCAATTCAGGAAAAAAATTGATAGTTCATGTTTGTAACGCAAATTATTACGCCCAAATTAGAATAAAAACAAATCGCCCAACCCGAAACCGAATGTAATTTTTTATAACATGAATTTCCACGACCCTATATACGTGTTGCAAATACAAATTAATACGAAGGACAAAAGATATCATGCAATTGATTACCAGCCTTGTATATCGACCACGCCGAGGTTGGGCATTTTGCTGTCGTTCACACATTTTGGTCCCACACACCGATCAAAAATATTTCTTATATGGCATGAAATTGTTTGTAAAAATGGCGGTAATCTACTTATGAACGCGGTCAATTTTTATGTCGTATATTTGAGAAATTTTTCAAGATGTGTTAAGCAATTTTTACATAAAATTCTCCAGACAGGCGTTGCACGTTTTTGTTGGTAGTCTGATGACGCAAATCTGGATAACGTAAACAAGGTTTGTTCAACTTTCCAATCAACAATTTCCCCATCAAAACTCGTAAAAAATATTATTTCATAAAAAATTTTTGCCTTAAGCGTCTGGAAAGATTGTTAAATTCGTTTGAGAAATACTTAAAAACGTGATCGCAAATCATATTTACCGCAACTTCATATTTATTCACAAGTCACAACCGTAACTTATAACCATCGGCGTCGCTAATACGCAAAACGACTACTTGGAGCGAAAATCAAAACACGTGACACACATTGTTTCCTCATGTTTTGTTCGTTACTAAGAAGAAAAGTATTTCGCATTCTTAATCTGATGACGAGACGTCTTCGCACATTTTCCATAAAAGACGGCCCTGGCTCTAATCAAAATCAGAAGAATATCGTCACTCATTGGAGTATGAAAATTAATATTCAGAACATGTAAAAAACAAAAACTTTATGGTTTTAAAATGCCTTATTGTTTGCATGGAAAAGACTGATGCTGTAGAAAAGTTTCATAGTTTTTTTTTGTAAATTGCGCAGAATTTAAGTAGTCTATTAATTGTCTTCTAGTTTAAAATTTTGAACTTTTATTGAATATGGGATAGTGGTTCATATTGACTTTGTGTATATAAGACACTGCACCAAGTGATATTCACATTGGTTGAGAAAGGTTTCTGAAATTTTCCTGAATGAATTTTCGATGTCAAAAATTAGATATAGACGAGAAGCATTCTATCTATCACAATGGACTATACTTTTGTCGACATAAATAAATAAAATTATTTAACTGATCGTTTAAAATTTAGTTTTATTGTTTTAGCTGTTATTGAGTTAAAATTTTATTAGTGTGGTTTTTCATTATTCATGTTTTTTATTTATTCTTTATACTTAGGATATTGATATTTTCAATACATATAGAATAATTTCAATACAATGCTGTATCATCATGCGATAAACAGCTTCAGATATTACTGGCAGATAAACAGAGATTATGAGTCTTAAGACACAATTCTGCGACAGAAACAAAACCCCTTACTGTGAAATAAGATGAAAATTTGCGCAATACTCGTGTATTGAGAAAATTATTGAATATTATCGAAAGTTCAAAAAAAAAATTTTGCCTTCGAATTATTTTCAGCAATATTTTATTTATCAAACATATACATAAGAACAGCATTTTTTTAACTGGGAAATGACGTTCAAGAAAATTCTTCTGACACTTTGTATCGTATCAATTTGGGCGTTATCTACAGAAGGTAAGTGTTCAATGATGTGCATTGTCTTCGGTGTTAAAGTGCGATTTCAACTGTGTTGACGGGAAGAAGTTGAATCAGTACAATTTCTTTTGAGGTCGTGGAGCTATTATACCAAAATGAGTCATATTTGAACTTCCCAACGCAGAAAATATTTTCAATATTATGATAGGAGACTTACAGTCTTAGGTGGCGAATTTATATATGTGGATTTGCTTATTTTTTCATCTATCTTAAACGCTGTTCACAAAATATCAGAAAATCATTGGCATTTTGTGCTAACTCAATTTGTGTAGAGGAGTTCGTTGATTTGTGTGACTGTGATATGTCGTGGATCTTGACGAAAATTAAATATAAAATTTTTTAAACTAATTTTGCAACATATTTATCTATCATATTTGTAAAAAATATTTCATGACTCTTGACATAGTAATTTTGAAATGTGGCAATTTTTTTTATGCTCATTTGAAATTTTTAGGTTTGAAGTGTTGGACTTGCGAAAACCAGGCATCACCACGCGACTGTCTCCAAAGTGGAAGTTTAAAGCAATGCAGATATTTGGAAAAAGTGAGATTTTTTTGTTTTTTAGATTTTATGGACCTCATTGTTATTTCTCCATCTTTGTCAGCGAAGTTAAATCTAGTTTAGCATATTTTCATTTTCACGTATTGCAGCAGTAAATATTATTGGTTTGTCAGACATTTACAGTACATGGCGCACTTGGTTACAAACATAACAGACTTTTAGAGTTGACCTCACAGACAAACCGCAAGTGAAAATACAACTCAATTGGGCCAATTTGAAAATATTTAATAGTGAATCAAGTGGCGAGTCTCGAGAGTGGCGAGATGAAAACAATAGACGATATAAAAATTGTTCGCCGTGGATTTTTGTAGTGTAATATATGACATATTTAGAATTAGAAGTTATTAGTAACATTTAAGTTATATAATCCCATACAGAGAGTGAATCTTGGTATTTGTTATTGTCCGTGGAATAGTTTTTCATTATTTGCCATGTTTTGTCACTGAATCGGTTGAGCTTCTTATATCGGATCAATGACGCCACTCATTGTTGTTGGTATTTTTATTTAGTCATGTCAAACAGTCGTTCGAGTTTTCGAAGGAACCAAAACCTACATTTCTACTGGCTGCAAAGAAGTTGATGCTTGTGGACGAAATGAAGAACAGGTACAATTTGACGCCAACACTGAATCGCTAAATTTTCGAAAAGTGTGATAAGGGGGCGGATCCATAGTTTATTTTTTCATTACTTACCTACAAACGAACAAACAAGTTACCACTGACTATTACATTACACTAGAAAATTGATATTTGGGTAAAGATTGAATTTGATACTTGACTATGTTTTTGTTTGCGTGGATTCAATCGTTTTATGGAGGGTTAAAAAATTCGAATAGTCGTCAGTTGACAAACTGCTTTACTCGAGTAATCTCCAGAAAAGGAAATAGTAATGTTTTTTTTTTGATTTACCGAAAGGTATTTTGACTTTCACACCAATTCCTATTTACATGCGTGCACAAATGTGATCTTACCGAATCTTCAATTGAAAACAATAATTTCATTCTCTAATCACGAAAAAATTGTAAAGTACTGGTTATTAGTGGCCGTAAGTTTTATTACCGTTTAAAATTTTGATTATCATCTTTATAACATGAAAGCAAACTTCGTTGACCTTACAATCAACCAGGTTGTCATAACGAAAAATATACTTATTCAGATTCACTTAGTAGTACTTAATCTGGAATGACTCTCAAGATAATAATTATCGACCACCTGAAAAAATAATACGTCCACTAAAGATTATGATACATAACCACAAACAATAGTCATTACTAGAATAGAAGAAAGTTCATAATTCGAAAACATTTCCGGTGATGTTAATTTCGAAAAAATTGTCCTAAAAATTCAGTGTTAACTTTTGTTTGATACTTATAGAAATATTATTCATTCTGTAACGTGGATAAGTAGCGATATAAAACACATCACAGTATTGGAAAATGCTAAACTACTACAAGTATTTCTCTTAATTTTGTTCGTAACCGTGTTTTTTTTTATTGGTTATATTTTACCCTTCCAGAATCCAAGACGTGCCTGGACTCCGACACAATGTAATGGAAATACTATGAATTCTGTATGTCGTTGTTGCTGTGGAACCGACAGATGTAACAGAAATAATCTTTTGTGTAAACCAAGAAGAGGAGGTACGTTTATCAGTATTTTGACTTTTGTATTTTAATGTAGACGAGTTCTAAAGTCCGATGATATTATATTTTGGTTACGCAGATGCTCCTGCACCTACCAAAGATGCAACGCCGACACCTCTTGAACGTGAGTGAATTTTTTTTATTGTTTTTTTGATAGCTTGTCATAACGATCTCACTGGAAACTATTTTTATTCCCTATAATACTACGATTGAACGTCATACGAAATTATTTTTGTCCATTTCACCTCTTTACAGTAGTGACATGACATGGGTACGCCAGCTAACGGCGAGAAAGTCTGTGTCGGTGAAAGACAAATTGGTGCAACGTGCAAGTTTACTTGTAACGATGGATTTGAGTTAGTTGGTTCTCAAAACTCACGCTGCGTTTTGAAACGGCCAAAAGCAAAATTTGGGAAATGGACATATAAAGTCCCAACGTGTGAAAAAAAACTTAAGTAAAGATTATTTTATAAAAAAAAATATTATTCACTCGTTTCATTATTTTCACAGTACTTACTATTATATTTTTCCCGATAAGTAAGATTTCGAATACATTGAGTTTTCATGCATTTTCAGCTTTGTGTGATGATGTTCCAACACTGTCATATGGGATGGTGGAATGTGACGCTGGAAGAAAAATAGGATCTCAATGCAGATTCTTTTGCAGCGGTGATCACGAGATGAGGGGACCATCGACTGTGACTTGCGAAAGAAAAGGAAAAGTTGCGAAATGGAACGAAGAATCTCCTATTTGCATTGGTGAGTTAAAATTTCAGTAAATCAGTAAATGGTTGAGAACAGTACATTTGCTATAATGATATGATTTGTGCCCATATCACCAGCACTCAATTAATACTTTCAATTCCAGCCCCGGAACCTTCTTGCAAAGACCTCGGCAATTTACCGCACGGCGAATTTGTGTGCACGCGAGAGGATAACAAAGTCGGAACGATTTGTGGATTTCGTTGCATAGACGATGGCTACGATCTTTTATCTACCACTGACGCTATAGAATGCGTTACAGATGCCGCGGGAAAAGCAAAATGGAGCCACAGGAAACCATGCTGTACATGTAAGAATTTTTTAATGTATTTCTGTCACAAATATTTGCTAGAGTAATATAGAGTATATGAAAATGACCATCCTATGTACCAGCCGTTGTTTTTGTCTAATTATGGACAAAGTTTACATCTATACGATTGAAAAATGGCCACGGAATGCTAATCCGATAAAGAATAATAATATCGTTTATTATTCGTTCTCTACCATACGTCAGCGTTACTAGAATTTGGAAGCAACAATGAATATATATAATCCATTAGAAATATTTATCAACAAAATAAAGTTTCAGTAGGTGGAATGTGTTTACCACAAATAAAACAATGCTCGACATCATAAATTCGTTTTATTTTTTTACAGCTCAATGTCCACCAATGGCCAAAAAAGATGTTGTGATTGTTATGGATTCCTCTAATTCAATTAGTAATAGAGAATGGAAAATTATGAAAAGTTTTGTTGCGAATATTACTGGGTATGATATATTAATTTGAAATGAATAATAAATAAATTTGCAATTTATATATATAAGAAAATACTTATTTTCGTCAATGAAATTTTTAGTGTATGATCAATGTATAAACAAAGTTTTAGATTGAAAAAATTACATGTATCACATTATCTTGCTACATTAAGAAATATTCACTTGATAATAAAACGTTCATTGTTTGTTTTACAGAAAATTTGAAGTTTCCGAAGATGGTGTTCAGTTTGCCGTTTATCGATTTAATAGAAAAGTTGACGACGAATCCCAAATTTTATTTGGTGATTATACAAACGACGTTGACGGATTAAAACAAGCTGTTATCGACATGCCAAAACGAGGTGGAGGTCAGTATCAAATCAATTCTTCAAAATCGAATTCAAACTTAACCGCATCTCTCGCGCTTCATGTTTTTAACTTTTGATCAAAGTGAACCTGTTATCATAGTTAGTATGAATCATATTCGAATCGAAGTTTAGTTAAGAGAAAAAACCTTTGTCCATTTGCTCTAAGCTCATTTATACATATATTTGTAAACAAATAAGTTAATTACCAACTTACTTAATTCGATTTTAGGTACTTTCATTGGCCGCGCACTGAAGCATGCCAAGAATCACGTTTTAACGACAAATAACAGAAAAGATGTTGAAGACTTGGTTTGGGTATTAACTGATGGCCGATCTGACGACAAACTTGACGTTGTCAGCAAAGAGTTGAGGGATTCAGGCGTTGAGGTGAGATCAATAAAAAGTCGATGACACCATTGTTTCCCTTTTTACCTTCTCGGGCGTCAGAAGATTTGCATTTTCGACCTCTCAAAATAGCCAGCAATAATAAACACATTTTGATCGTAACTTATTTACTCGTAATCCCAGAAATATACAAAACCCAGTTAGGACCATTGTTTATCATTTACAAAAAATAATCAACGACAATGTTTTTCAGATAATGGCTCTTGGAATTTCACGACAAAACAAACCAGTGGACATAAAACAGTTGATCAATATGGCCGGCCATTCAGACAACGTTTTGGGAGTGAAAAACGGAATGAAAAGTCTGACTGACAACTTGTCACACAGAATCGTCAAAAAAATCTGCCAGTTCTCTTGCCCTGCTGAGTAAACACTTGTTACACAGTGATGTCGAATATGCGGAGTATTTGTATGCCCGAGTTTTAAAAGGCCTTCAAAGTTGAAATCAAATTTGTTTGTGCGAATATTGTTTTGTATATAATTATTTAAATTAAAACAAAACCAGTCAGACATGGTTTCATATGAAATATTCGCGGCATAAATAGACCGCGATTCGAAAGAGTGATTTTGCAATCATCTTATCTGCTGTATTCAAAATAGCCAGTGAATTATTTTTCGTGGAAAATCATCTATTGCGCTAGTTAAAGTTATCATGTTGTATGATACATCTTTCATCATTTCTTTCTGAGGTGCTTCACTTTCTGTTATCATTGCTATTTTTATATAGAAATTAATTTCAGTTGTTTTTGTACCTTTACATTTTTATTTACCATTTAATATAATCACGAGCAAACGCATTTAGAAGTAACTAATGATGACGTGATGTATTTCGATAAGACAATTCTGGTTTTCTCGAAAAGTTATTTTAGCATATATGTTAAATTTAAACCAATTAAAAAGTTACGTCGTATGTATGCTTTATTGACTATTGCTTTTGTATAATATAATTTTATCCATCTTCAATACAATACATTCGAAATAGATATTAGAACATTCATTTCACAAAAGAGGTTTAGGCAAAGGCATTGTTGGATAATACTTCACAGACAGATATTTGTACCGTTGAAAGCAACGCAAGAGATACGGATGAATTAGTTCCTTGGATCAATTAGTTGCGGGAGCATTATTAATGTAGAATTAATGTCTTCCAACTATAAAATCAATTCAATCATTTCCTGGAAATCAACTGAATCTTTGAAACATGTAAGGTGCTATTGGTTTAGAAATTAATTCGTCTTCTTCCACAATTACACATGAAGATACCATAACTAACATAAAGTAATATAGCCATATATATAGAAATTATGTTTGTTGGTATTGAGTTTATGTAATCGTCCATACGAAACTATGTAATCTCTTACAATGATTATTCTTGTGGTGATTTTTGCTACAGGCTTTACAGAATACTCGAATGATGTGCCAGACATGATGAAGAACAATCGCTGACAAAACGATAATAGTTGATAGAACTAAAACGAATTTATATCTAATGGCGGGGTTGCATGACGTATGGATTTGTGCAATGAAGAAGGGTTTGCAGTAAATTCATTCTTTGTTTTGGTGATATTTGATGTGAAATATCGTTTGTTCAGCATTTTTTGTCGGATTCGTGGGCATAGTTTACTGTCGTGGAATACCTCTGTGAAGCTAGTAGAAATTTGACCGGCGAAGCGAAAAGGTCAAAAATCTTTACAGAAATGTAGGAGTGACAGTATTCTTATCATATTCATCAATTTCAGTAATTCCAAATATAGGATACAAAAAAATGTTTGATATAAAAAAGACCGAACAATAAAACCAAATTTAGGTTACTTCACCAACATAGCAGATTAGTACTTTAAAGAAGAAATTCTCTTACAAAACAAAATACAATGAGTAGAATACGTATATATGGTAAGATGTAATATGTATCGTGGAAAAAAACTAATGAATTATGAATATTACATTCCAGAAAATTTGTCACAAAACTCGAATCTAAGCTCTAATTCTAATAGAACATATAATTTTGGGCACTCCCCTATTGAATTCGGTAAGATGAAAAAAGTTTAATTTAGCAATTTTCGAATATTAACAGCATGTTCCTACGCACAAGAGGCATGCGATTTTATTATATATATATAATATCAAGTGGGATACTTGAAATTTGTCACACACCTTGAACCTAAAACTACTCGAATTTAGAGATAGGTGTACTCCCCTGTTAAAGATGCCCCTTTTTATCAAAATTACGTGTACCCATGAATAATTAAATTTTGCAATTTTCAAAGATTAATATCATGTCCTTCCGCATAAGAGACAAGCGATTTTAGTATTTCTTATCAATGTCGAGTACATGAAGTTTGTCGTACACGTTGAACCTAAAACTACCCGAACTTAGAAATCGGAGCAGCCCCCTGTGGAAGATGCCGCTATATATCAAAATTACTTATACCGATAAAGGTTTAAGTTTTGCATTTTGCAGAGATTAATAGCATGTCCTCCGCACAGAAGGCACGCAATATTGTTATTTCCTATCAAAGTGGAATACATTAGGTTTGTCGCACACCTCGAACCTGAAACTACTAGAACTTAGATTTTGGGGGGTGTTAATTTCAAAAAGTGTCTGGAATGGGTTCCATCTACAAGTGCGTGACGACGGTCCTTGACCGCTGTACTATTCATTTTAATTAAAAAAGGCACAAGAGAACGGCGGCAGCAGGAGGTTGGATGGCCATCGAGGCGGATGAATCTATAGCATGTCAACGGCTCTACAGCCGACTGCAGCTATGTGAATGCTGTAAGGATTGGTGTAAAAAGCGAGTATTCTGCAAAGTTCAAATCATGAAATGTCTTTAAAAATGTATCAGATCAACAACGTTAAGAATACTGGTGAAAATCGCGGTATCTCGTTCGGCCGGGATTATCATGCGCTGCAGGTGGAACCCGGTCGTCATCAAACTACTGAAGCATCGGGTATGTCTACGTGTAATATGAGAACCATCTATCAGAGTGGGAAAAAGGCAATCTTGTAAAAGAGCTAATCATCAACATTCTGGATGTGTCAAAAGTAAGATGGCCTGGCGCTGGAAAGATAGTGTTCGATGTAATGACGTTTCTAAACTCAGGTACCAGTAACCAACGGCATGAAAAAGGTGTAGGAAGGTTTTTCTGAATCCAAAAATGTGCAGGCTTTTGATACATTTCTGAAGACATATTCTGATTCAACTCCGTGGCAAACCCTTTGATACAGGGGTGATACAGTGCTATACTCCAACAGCTCTGAGTGTAACGACAAAGAGATCGACAGTTTTTATGATCAGTTAGACTTGGCGATGAAACAATGTAAAGCGGATGACATCAGGACCATCATGGGCGACTTCAACGCAAAGGGTGGATGTACCAGAGACGGCGACGCAGTGAGTCCATTTAGACTGGGTGTGCGGAATGAGCAGGGTGATCGACTGGGGAATTGCTGCAAGATGCATAATATGCTTGTCACGAACACGTTATTTGGACTTCATCTCAGAAACATTTACACCGGATGACGATTGCCGTAATCAGATTGATTTCATCTTGGTCAACAAGCGATTTAAAAATGCAATTCAAAGAGTTTGAACCTATCCGGGTGCGGATTGCAATTCAAATCAGGTTTTGCTATCTAGCAGAATACGACTGAAACTGTAGAAGATCGAGCGTTAGGCACCAGTCGCACAAAGGCAGATCAGACTACCAACGGCAGACAATGATATTAGAAATGATTTATCTCATACAGTGTGTGAAGGAGCAGTATGCAAAGAATAAAGGCACCGAGAGATGCGGCTGGACCTTCCTAAAGACAGCAATAGAAAAGGCGTCAGCAGAGTGGTTGTCGCACACACACTGCAATGCAAAGAAGAAGTGGATGAGACATAAATATACTTGAAGTGAAAGTAAGAACTAAGGAGGTTGTTAAAAAACGATCCAGATAAATATCACTAGGTATAATCGCGCAAAAGACCAGTACCTGACGGAATTGTGTAATGAAATTGGGGAACTGGAGAAAAGTGATGTCCAAGTATAGTACGAGAAAGTGCGGGAAGTAACGCAAAGAAGGTAAATGTATGTATCAAGTGATGCAGACGGCTTGATACTGATGAACAATGAGGCAGTCCTGCGCTGTTGGACTGAGTACACCAACAATCTCTATGGTGATGATGGAAGAAACCAGAAATAAAGAACACAATGGAAGGTCGCGAATACATCCCGGCGGAAATCCAAAAGGCTACGAAGAAAATGAAATGAGGAAAGGCAGACTGAAAAAATAGCATCCTTTTTGAGCATATCGATGTTTTTGGTTTATTCGGTGTTAAAAAACCGACAGGAATAGCGAACCAAGTTTACGCGTACGAGGTTTCGGATGAAATGTTGGAATCTATTTTTGTAACATTGCCGAAAAAATCAGATGCGATTGATTGCAACGATTGCAGTCTCATGTTTACAGCCATGTCACAAAGATACACGTAATACTAAATCGAATAAATGATACGATCAGACAGAATTTGTCAAAGGAGCAGTTCGGATTCCGAGTATAGGCACAAAAACGGAAACTAAAATGTTACGTCTGGTCAGTTCTGACATACGGATGTGAGTCTTGAACAATCAACAAAGCGATGTCGATGCGAGAACGCTTAGATGGAGCTGAGATGTGGTTCTATCGACGAATGCTTCAAATTTCATGAAAAGAGAAAGTGTCAAATGCTGAAGTCCTGAGTAGAATGCAGTTCGATCGATTGTTGATGCAGACCATCAAATAAAAGCGGTGTCGATTTGTTGGACACCTATTTCGTGAAAACGATAGCATTGAACGGCACATCATGTAGACTGAAACTGAAGGTAGGAAAGCTGGTGCTCCAGAAGTATGTATACCAATATGGAGGTAACTAATGTCGTGATTTTGTCAATCAGCGTTTTAAGTATTATAATCCTGAATCTTCTTTACACGACAATGTGAGGTTGGTGTAAAAGTTCGATATATGTATTAATTCAAATGAATATTCAAAATAATCACATTTTACTATATAAAAACAATAAATTAAACTACGATGCAGCTGACAACCAAAAGCGAGTACTATTGCGAGCCTGATGAACGTGTTCGAAAAACATTGAAAAAGAATCAAAGGTTGATCTCAAACAAGCTTACCATGGAAATGATTTACTGGAGGCTTTCAATACAACGGATGCAAGTCTTTCTCCAACACTAAAGAGGTCAGATGGAACACATTATAGAAAAAACATTACTTCCGTACGCTGCGTCTTCGAAATGGGTTCATCAAATGCATTCAATGCAGCGCCCAATTGTAGTGACAATAGCAGAATAGTGCAGTCATTAAAGTTTCCAGCAGATGCCGAGAGAAAGAAAAAATGGGAGATGAATTGTAGGCGGAGTGGAGGCTGGAAATCCGACCCAGGTACTTCTTTGTGCGAGGATAGTCAAGTGGTCAGGTTACACTGATAACAGGAAAGAAGAGCTGCACACAGTTTCAGGATGAGGTCACGTTTAATTATACCATCCCATCTCATTTAAGACAGCTCTGACCCAAGAAAAGTTATCTCAACTGTTGGGATTGTCCAAACAAATGAGTCAGATTAGGAAAAATGTTTTAAAGCCATCCAAAGTTAGAGCGAGTGCTTTTAATGTGTTGGATTCATTTCCTCCGTGGGCACAGCAGTATTATAGGTATCAAGAGCAATGTGAGTAGGCAGTTAAAAGCCCCCAGGAGAGATGATGTTTAAATTAATAAAGTTGGTTTGTGTTTTTATTGCGTTATCCTTTAATAACAAGAGAGCATATGCGTTAACTTACCAGCACCTGAATCGGGGACATATAACGGTACATGGACTGTCATAGTTTTTCCATGTCCCGTGGCAATAATCTATTCTTCTCCATTTAATCTCAACATGAATTGAAATACCAAGTGATCCGAGTCACTTCTTCA